ACTCCGTCTTTTTGTGGGTTCTGCTGCTCTATAATTTATTTAAAGCTATTATTTAAAGGTATTTGGAGGGGGCTGAGGGAAAGCTCAGGTGAGTTCCTGCCTTTACTCTGCCACCTTGGCTCTGCCTCTGATATGGTCCCTCTTTTTTGGCACTTATAGTCTGTTTTTTTTTTTGTTTGTTTGTTTGTTTTGGATAGGCAATGGAGATAACTGATTTGCCCCGGGCCACACAGCTAGTATTATGTGTCTGAGGCCAGTCCTCCTGAATCCAGGGCTGGTGCTCTATCCACTGCACCACCTAGCTGCCCCTTGGCACTTATAGTCTGAATATAAGACTGGTATTCCCCTTGAAGACAACAGATTTGTTTGGTTTGCAAGCCCAAATGACCTATATTCCTCAGTAAAGAAAAAATTGACAGATATGTTTGCTGAGGCAGCATCAATGCTCAGCAGGACAGGAGGGAGCCAAATGTCCCCATTTTAAAAAACAAGTGACGGAGTAGAATATGAAAACGTTTAGCCAAGTAACCTGACTTTGAGAACTGGCAAAGTCCTAGAATATAATATTAAAGGAAAGGTAGATGAGTATAGAAAAGGAAACAATGAAAATAAAGAGTATATGTCTTACCAAACTAAACTGGTTTCCATTTTGGCCAGAGTTACTAAATTGGTGCTCCAGTGAAATGTCATTGATATGGTTTACTTCACTAAGAATTCAGCAGTCTCATGCAGTTCTTGTGAAAAACTGGAAAGCTATGGTGTACAATGATATGATGGTAGCAGCTAGGTGATACAGTGGATAGAGCATTGGGTTTACAGTCAGGAGGATCTGAGTTCAAATCCAGATTCAGATACTTACTAGTTGCTTGACCCTGGGCAAGTCACTTATTCCATTTGCCTCCATTTCCTCATTTGTAAAATGAGCTGGAGAAAGAAGTGGCAAACCACTCCAGTCTCTTTGCCAAGAAAATCCCAAACTGGGTCACAAATCGGTGGACATGACTGAAAAGACTGAACAACAACATCACAATGATAGGACTGTTAGGTGGATATGGAACTGGTTGAGTTTCCAGACCCAAAGAATAGTCATTAATGATTCAATGTTGACATCTCTGGTGAAATTCTCCAGTAATCCATCTATTGACCTGTGCTGCTTAAAATGTTTAAAAATGTATTGGATAAAGCCATAGTGGGCATGCTTACTAAATTTTCAGATGACATAAAACTAGAAGAGTCAGAATCCAAAAAAAAAAAATACTGACTGGCTATATTAGTCACTTGAATATAAAAAAAATTATATTAATTTAAAAGAAAATATAAAGTCTTATACTTGGGTTATGAAATCAATACTACAGGTACAAAATGGGAAAGACTTAGCTAGATAGAAGCTCGTTTGAAAAAAAGATCTGGGAGTTCCAGTAGCAAAATGAGTTAACAATGTGATATGGTAGCCCCAAAGTTGATTCCATTTCAGGCCACACTGAGAGAGTAATAGCATCTAGGTCTAGGAAAATGTTAGTCCCCTAGTACTCAGATCTGATTAGACTGTATCTAGATATTGTGTTGGGTTCTAGGTGTTACATTTTGGGATGGATGTTGATAAGCTGGAAAGTATCCAAAGCAGGACTGCCTGGATGATAGGTCTCAAGATCATGCCTTGTGTATTATGAGAATTGGTTAAAGCAGGTGGAGGAGAGAAAACTTTCGGCTAAAGAGAAAAAGACTTAATGGGTTGGGGGTTTGGATGGGATACATATTCTCAAGTATTTGAAGGACTGACATGTGAGAAATGGATGAAAAATGTGCTGCTTAGCCCAGAGGGAAGAATTTGGATTACTGGTGGAAGATGCAAAGAGATTAATTGAGGTGTGATATAAGGAAAATTTTTCTTAACAATTAGAGCCATCCAAAGGTAGACTGGCTTGTGTTAGGAGATAACGGCTTCTGTGTTATTAGAGATCTTCAGAAAAAAGATGGGCACCCTGCTCTTACGTATATGGTGGAGAAGATTCTTGTCTGGGTGTCTTTTGTAGTTCAATGGCCTCTGAGGTCCTCTACTTTCTGCCTAACAAATAGAGAACAGTATAAGGTAACATACAACCAAATGATTGACTATGTGGTATGGATTATAAATACTACAGGTAAAAAAAAAACAGCAAAAGAAAAGGAAACCTAGAGATAGGAATGAATATGGTATGTGTGGGAGACAGGAAGAAGGACCTAATTGGAGCAGAGGGTTAACACAGAGGAAAACTAGAAAATCAGGTGGGTTGAATGTATGTAGCAGGTAGAACCTGCTAATAGTAGAAGATGTTGAGCTCCAGAATGAAGAATCTGGACCTTATCCAATAGGGAGCTACTGTAAGTTTTCTGAATGAGAAAATACCATAAAAAAGTAGTATTCTGGGAAAATATGTGGTTATGTAGGGCAGGACAATGCATACTTTCCCAACTATTCCTACCTTACTCATATTACCTCTCTCCACTATTCTCTGATCTGCAATGCAATTTCTGCTATAACTCACAGCACAAACAACACTCTTTTTACCCAAAGTTTCCTGCAAGAATCTCCTTCTTATGGTTACTGCATCTTCCTTCCCTCCTCGTCTCCAGAAGTCGCACAGTGGCCTAAGGTTTTGTGTTAATAGTCATGCATGAATTTGTGTTTGCTAAGTTGTTATCTGTGACAAATCTTTTAAAACAGCAGGATTGTAATAATAATGATGATTAATATTCATAAAATTTTGCCGAGCAATTTACAGATGATCTCATTTGAATTACCAAACAGGAATTAGGTCAGGCCTTCTTAACTTTATTTTGTGTTTGATGGACCTCCTTGCAGTCTGATGAAACTTTTGTGGTTCTCAGAATAATATTGTTTTATTTTGTTTTGAATTAATGATTGAGGTAAATGATAAATTTTAGTTAGAGGTGAGTGAAAATAATGATGTAATTTCTTTCTTATCTAATTAATGGACCTCCCTGAGATCTTGTCTATGGAATCCAGAGGAGGAACTCTTGATATCTGTTCACCTTGGACTGATATTGGGTTGATCTTAGATCACACCTTTCCCACTGACTTGTGTGATATTTCACTTGATATTTGGTAAGACACTAAACTTCTGGTCACTATTTTTTTCCTTCTGCAAGATGAACATAAAATATATTTTCTACATATATAGGGTGTTAGTGAGAATGAAGCATATCATAATTTCCAAACATATTGAGCTTCCTAAAAAGAAATCCAATGAATTTGTATTGTTTTCATTTTCTCTAATATTATTAGATCTCATGAGACTGTCATGGTAGATACAAGCTGCATTCTTCTTCTATAAGTTGAGCAGACTGTATAACACAAAATATGACTTTAGTAGGATTTGGGTTCAGAACTCCTTTCTATCATATACATCCTCAAGAGTCAGAATGCATGGTTCTCATTTGTACCACTTCTGCTAGGAATGAGCAGAAATGGACCAATTCTTAGCATTTGCACTTACATTAAAACAGTTCCATTCCATTTCTAAGGGCATTTTATTTATTATTTTAAATCCAACATTCTTTCTATGAGAATTTCTTTTAAAATAATAGCCACTTTTTTGTGACTCCCACAAATAACAATCCTCTGTCTTCTTGCTGCTGACTCTGCACTCAAGAGTAGTTAAAAACATACCAGTTCCCAGGGCTCTCTTGACAGTAGGCAGCAATGCTAATATGACACAGGCCAGATTTTTTTTCTTCCTGTAACAAAGCATTATATGAGCTGTAGCCGTTATGCTTAAACAAACTCATCGACCGGGTTGGTGTCAATTGCATTTAAAAAATGAAGGAAGTTTCATGTTTTCCAAGGGCAGAAGACATAAATATTGTGTGTTTACTTTTGCACGTTACCTGAAGGGAATGATACCGGGTGAAGGGTGAATGCATTGCAAACTATAAAAGGTAACCAAAAGACTTTTGGGGGTAAATATGACCATTAGTTGTAATGCAAACTTGATAGTCTATTCATGTTTGGTTTTTTTTTTAATCTCTATTAGCCTGATTCTTCCTTTGAACAGGAAAGAATGAGTTGTTATAAAGCCATGGGTGGAAGGGACACTACTCTTCTATGTAGGTTTCTATATCTGGTAAAAAAAAAAAACCTCTCCCAGAACTAGGCACTATATCGCATGCATGTAGATGTGCATGTGAAGATGGGGGGCAGGGATGGGGGGTGCTGCATTTCCCAAGCTGCCCACTTCTATGAGGGGTCTGGTCTGAGCCTCGTCAAGGATTAAATCGATTGTAAATTCTATTGCTATAGCATTTCTGAAATAATAATGATGATCTGAGCCATGTAAAAGTAAAAATGGCTGCCTTAGGAGATTAGTTCTTGATCCCGGGAAGTCATCAGTTGGAGGCTAGGTAACGACTCATTGAATATATAGTAGAGAATATACTTGGGCAGGTATGGGTTGTACTGACTAACCGCAGGAGTCCTTTACAGCTCCGAGATTCTGCTGTATCTTGGACATACTGTAACTGTTCATATGCTAGTCATGTTCTGCAGCTGACAGCTGAGAAATGCTCTGTGCTGGGGTCCTAACCAGGACCAAGTATGAACCGGGTCCCCTGACTCTCCAAGGGCAAATTTGAAACCAGAGCCAAATGGTGATGGTCAAAGAACCCAATCAATCTCAAGGTAGTCTTACGGACCCTGATGACCCAAGGCTGTCATGGACCTCTTGGGGCTACTCCAAACTGAATTCCATTCTGCAGGCCACCCCAACAGAAATATCCACACTCATAACCAAGACTGCTCCCAAACCAAACCAACCTCTGGAGGAGGCCGGGATGCTGTTTGACTAAGTACATGTTTTAGTGGACTTAGCTCAACATAGGCAGAGTGAGCTCTTTCTCATGTTATTCCTGGAAGACATAATCTTGGCAGACAATCACCATGAGTGCTTTGTGGTCTCAGTTTCATTGTCTACTAGCTTACATGGCTTTCTTTTGTTTTTTAGGATTAACTGCTGTATGATCCAAGAATTGACATTATATTCCACCCTGGAGAAGAGGGTTGACAATCAAGAAGTCACATGGTAGCCGCAACAGTATGATAGTCCTGGAATCTAAAAACAATACTAGTTATCAAATCCCAAAATTGGTATCATCAGAACTAGCTACATTTTACCAGGGGTTTTTGTTTTTGCTTCTTTGGAAAATAGAGGACAATCAAGTTCTAGACTCATGGACGTTGATAAAACTGGTGCCCAGTTTAAAAGGAATCTTGATTTCCTGAGGTTTCGTGTCAATTATCATCCAGCTCCCCTTCACTCTTTCTACTTCGTTAGGTTTAAGTAATTCTGAACCTCATAGAAAGTATTTTCCTATAAATTATGATGGCACCAAAGTATTTGCTTCATTGAATTAGGAAAAGACATAATGGAGCTTGGGCTCCTGGCATGTACTCCATCTAAAATGCCTTCCATCTGGTTTACTCAGTATATGTAGGAAATAAAAAGAACATGTCAGTGATACATGTATATTTGGTTTTGCATACAACCTTTTTCGTTGTTGTTATTAGCTTTCCCTTGGCATTCTTCCAAGATATCTTACAAGTTATCAATCTTGCCAGGACAGGCAGTGTTGTCTGACCACTTCCTCTTTGCAATTAAAGACTGTAACCACTCGCTTACGCACAGACTGAGACCATCATCCCTAACCCCAAAGGAGGCCAGAAACTCCCAGCAATTCCCACTGAAGGAGGAGGACCAAGCTGAAAACAACACACTGTGTATTTTAAGGTTGAAACTCAAGCTGCGACTGAAAGGGCTGGGAGCACCCATCTACACCTTGCTTTTCTTCATCCTGTCATTTCCTTGGGTTTTAATAGCTACGGAGCAAACAGTATAATTGCAGCATGTTTATAAATACTTTATCTATATGTTGATTTTTTTATGGGGCCATATTTCTAATATTTATTATCAAATCACTAGCTTGAACTGGAGCAAAAAGACAACTCCTTTACCCAACCTCCCTCCCCACCGCCTTAAAAAACCTCAAAGAAAACCAACATCAACAGCAACCTGGCTTTATTTGCAGGGAGCCCAACAAATAACCTGGCCTGGTGTTGGTTGCCATGAAGGTATATGTTTCCGGTCTTGTTCCTAGAGTTGGTTAGCTGCTCCACAAATAAAACTTGCCCTAGATGCACAGTGGGCAGGTTTTGTTCACATAGGAAAACTGCCAGTTTGGTGACACAGATAAAAGCCAGGTCACTGTTGGTGTGGTGAGGTTTTTTTTGTTTTTTTGTTTTAGTTTGCCTTTTATTGTCACAGAATCTTAGAATATTAAAAATAAGAAAGAACGCTGGGAAATCATGGAGGTCAACCTTCCCTTTTGTCATCTCTCTGTGCACTACTGTGTTATCCCTTTCTAGGTTGGGAGTGTGAGTTAAATCTCCTAGATTACTGCATCTTTCCTTCTTTCTTGGAGGTTTAAACAAAAAATAGGGAAGTAGGACAAACATATAGTAATGCCTATTGCGGGTATGAGAGGGCTGAGGAGCTGGGGTTGATTTCAGTTGGAGATAGGAAGGTCAAGCTATACTGCTTCAGGAGCATCCAACCAAGCAGGAAGGCACACACACACACACACACACACACACACACACACACACACACACACACACACACACAGCTTTGTTCATAGACTATTAGAGCTGGAAGGGACATCTGGGTTGACCCTGTCTTTTTACAAATAAAAAAACCAAGACCCAGAGAGATAAGGTGTACTGTCTAGAGTCCCATGGCTAGTTAGTGGTAGACCTGAGACTCAAATCCAGTTCTCATTCTGTATGCTATGTTCTTGTTATGCACCTTGTTGCTTCTTTTGTTATACCCTTTTTTACCTCTTGGACAAAAATAAAACCTTTCCAAGGTATATTAAGAGAGAAGCACTAACTTTTATGTACATGGGGTGTAGGATATGGCCCATACTATAATTGAATGTACAGTATAGATAAGGAAGATACTTTCATTTTATTTAGATAGTTTTGAGGTGTCTATGCTATTTCTGAAGTGGATTATAATCTTTTTGGCATATGAGGACTATATATTCTCCATGAGGAGGATTTAAAGTCTAAAGAAACTAAAAAAAATTGGAAAAAAGAAGGCCGACATATATTTCAAGAATATAAAAGACATGGGATATGGTGGTACATACCTGTAATCCCAGCTACCGAGAAAGCTGGAACCAGAGGCTCTATTAAGCTCAGAATTTTTGAGCTGCAGATGTGTCAATCGGATATCTGCACTAAGTTCAGCAACAATTTGATGTGCTTCTGGGAATACAGGATCAGCAGGTTGCTTAAGGAGAGACAAACCTAAGTTTGCTTTAGGTTGGAAATTGATCAAGTGAAAGCTACCATGCTGCATAGTGGTTGGATTGGGAAAAAGTAGCCTCTGTATTTCCAGGGTGGACATAATAGGGAGACTAAGTCAGAGAGAGAGAGAAAGACAGAGAGAGGGAGAGAGAGAGAGAGAAGAGAGAGAGAGAGAGAGAGAGAGAGAGAGAGAGAGAGAGAGAGAGAGAGAGAGAGAGAGAGAGATGGTTGTATGTAGTTCTAAAAGTTTAACTTATAGCCTGAGGAATTTAGGTTTACTCTAAGGAAGAATTTTTGGAAGTGTTTTTAAATTATGAAATAAATTCTCCTGGGGAGGGATAAGTGGTTGGGAGAGGAAGGTTAGAAATAGAATACACATTTATCTGTCTGGGTAATATAGAACTAGAGGGATGGACACTCCTGGACCTCTGAGTACTGTGGGTTTAATAAACAGTAATTAAATTGGTGAGTCAAGGTGAAGATAAGCAAGGGTAAAATAGCCCAAAAAGGAAATTTTTACCGTTTGTCTCACTCTGAGATCCTGACAAAATATCCCCGTCTCTATATTTTCACTGTCATCAGTCAAACACTAATCATCATGATCATCTGCTTGGATAATCACAGAAATCTATTAACAGGTATTTTCCCTGCTATACTCTCTTCCCCTTTCAATCCATTTTTCTCATTGTTAGAAAGAAGTCTTCCTGATGTATAGATCTAGAATTATCATTCTTCTGATCAGTGTGGTGTAGAAGGGAGAAAAGTTTGCTGAATTTGGGGGACTAAACTTGGAGTCATGGGACTTGGGTTTGAATCCTGCCTCTGTTGTTTACTACTTGCGTAACCTTGGGCAAGTCATTTAACTTTTGAGGGCCTCTCACCTGCAAAATAAGGGTATTGGACCAGATGACCTCTAAAGTCTCTTCCAGATTTAAATCTATAAATCTAAGAACAGATGTACTACCTGCTTCTCGGGTAGAAAGAAAGCACTTTGTAAACTTTCAAATGTTTTATGGTATTACTGCTCTTACTACGAAACTTCAATGGCTCTCCAAAGCCTACTAAGTAAAGTTGAAACTACTTAGCATGTTATTCAATCTTAATTCTCCATCTTAATTCTGTAGGTAATCTGTGTGTAGATTATTTTGACTGACACAGGTAATTGTATGTGTTCAGAAATTCTGGGCAGTTTCCTTGTGTTATTTCTTGCATGGCTGTTTAAGAGTTTTTAATTTGTTATGTTTTTCAGGGAAAATTATAACCCTTTAATTGTCGCTATGCATCCTGTCTTCAAATTCAATAAGTTTTGCTTGTATAGAGATAATGTTTTCTTTTAACATCTTTGATTATTTGCTTCTTTTCTTCCAGATTGTCCTTTGCTTCTGTGCATTTGGATTCCCCATCAGTTGTTTTGTTTCTTTTATGAGGTTTGCCACGATGGAATCAAATTTTTCTACTCTCTCAATTATTTCTAGTGAAATCTGAGTACCTGTATTAACATGAGGTCATCTGAGTCAAATTGCAGTCTTTTGCTCTAAATCAGGGGTGGGAGACCTGTGGCCTCGAGTGTGGCCCATTGGCTGAATCTTTTAATAAAGGGATTTGTTCTGTAAACCTCGGACTCAGTCAAAAGGCCATACCCAAGGACCAAATACCACATGTGATCTTGAGGCCGACGATTCCCCACCTCTGTTAAACCTTGGACAGTCAGAGGTGAGAGTTATGGTGAAGCATCTGGGTTAGTAAACAACTGGTGATTTGAATCCCAAGGGTACTTTAGAGATATAGTTCTCAAAGTGTGGTCTTCAGACCATTGATGATTTAGAGGCTAGCCATAGTACATTGATACCAGGACAACACGACAGATTCTAAAGGAACACAAACTCTTTCCTCATAATCTTTAATAATATGAAGCAGATATAAATTAATAATATTAGTAATAATAACAGCTAGCACTTATACAATGCAAAAAAGTTTGGAAAGAGCTAAAGATATGTTATCTTATTTGATCCTCACAACAACTTTGTGAAATTTTCCTCACTTTACAGATGAGGAAACTGAGGCTGAGAGTTTAGGTAGGTTGCCCAGGGTCACACCACTAGTAAGTATCTGAGTCTGGATTTGAACTCAAATCTTCCTGACTCTATATGCAGCATTCTCATCTACTACACCACCTGGCTGCAGCATCATTCATCTCAGTAGTAAATGTAGTAAGGTTTTGTTTTGTTTTTAATGATGAAAAATTGGAAAAGGAGAGGTAGATAGTCTCTGGGGTCTTATGTCCTTGTCAAAAATGGCACCTGGCTCATAATCAAGCTCTATCTGGGTTTCTTGGGGCCATTCTAGGACAGCTTAAATCTTCTAAGATTAATCCAGAACGTCCCTTTTGGGACTAGGTGTGGTCACTGTAGACCCTGCAAGGCTCTGATTGCCTTTTGTCATGACTGGCATGAATTCTTTTAGGCAGCCCAGCTCAAACTTTAGGTCGAAGAAGAGCAAAGTGTTTTGAATGACTCTATTCTTCTAAAGGCCTTATTCCCATTGCAGTGAAGGATGAAACATCATGTCCCGATTAAGCAGGCTGTGGCAGAGGAGGAGTCAGCAAGTGGGTGACCAGTTCATTCCAGACCACGGACCTTGCCAAGATGGTAACAATGCCACAGCCTCTTTTGGTTTTTTGGGGAGTGGGTGTCCTCAATTTTCTTCAATAGAGGGGAGGGGAGAAAGACTTAGGAAAAATCCAGAAGCAACTTAGCACACTTTTGTGCAGATACTGATTGTTCTCCTCACCAATTCCCAAGAGAAATCTGGATGAATGATCATCCTACTAAATGCAGAAACAACAAAGTCTTCCAATTCCACCATGGGTCCAAAACAATTTGAAATCATGACACTGCCCAGTCTGACTGGGCAGTGGAGCCCAGTATTTACAGTGTATCACAATTATATTTATTTGTCTAGACTCTCCTTGGTGTTGCAAAACTGACCTCCATGGGCATTTTTTTTAAAAAGTGAGACATTATAGCTTTATTCGTTTCACTATTCTCTGTGGCTCCAGATCTTGTGGTGAAGAAACTCAGCCAGACTGCAAGAAAAACCCAGCCACAGTGGAACTAAGCCGGCAGAGATGTAGAATCCCACTAGAAGTGGAGTACAGTGGAGTGGTCATTGAGGGCCCTCCCTGCCTGGATTGGCTTTCCTTCATGCAGCTATTTTTATCATCAAGATAGGAAGGGTGTCTGGGTCACCTGGGTAGAAAGGATCTTTACCTATGAATGGCGTTACAGGGTAAAACTACTAAAGAAGGGAGGGGGAAGGGTGAGGAAGAGAGGAAACAGCACACACAAGTCTTTCCTAAATATCTTTTTCCCCTGCCCAGACTGTGGTAAAATAGCATGGAGACCAGCCAGCCAGCCATGTTTGTCTAAGCTATTGACTAATCTCTGAGTTCATGTGGTGAGCTAGTTCATGAAGTTCTTGAACTTTTATTATCCTGAGGCTTCTGGCTGGGTGGGAGTGAGATAGGAAATTGGCACTAAAGGAAGAAGGGGACCCTTAAAAAGAGTCAGCCTTAGAGAAAAGAGATCAAGAGATCTGAATTTTTCTCTCCAACTCTGCTAAGAACTTTCTGAGGGAGCTTTCAAAACCACTTAGTCAATTTAGGCTTCACTTTCTCTGTTCCAGAAATGAAAATAAAATCATTTAAGAAGACTTAGGGACCCATACATATATAATTCAGTTTATCAAAAATCATACTCATCCTTTAACATTTAACTAAAATTTTATTTATCTCACTGAAACTTTCCCTGGTCTCTCCAACCAGATGTAATTTTCCTCCTCCTCTTAAGTTCCAAAGAATTTAATACTATACTAATGATATTTGTCGTGCTCTGCCTTATAACAATTTGTTTACTTGTCTTATTCCTAGAGAGGTAGATAGATAAAGCATTTATTAAGCACTACTATATGCTAGACACTGCTAATCATTACTAGAGTATAAGATCCTTGAGGGCAGTGACTCGGTCATTCATTTTTGTACATTTTCTAATTCCTTGCATAGTACTTTTCATATGTTGGCCACTCAATACATATTTGTTAAATGAACAAATCAAGGAATGAAGTATTATTGACACAAATGATTGCACTGGCTTATAAGGCACTCAGATATTTGGCTTTATGTTACATGTCCCCAGACTGCTATGATTTTCAATAAAGTTTTTCTTCCTAGTCCCCCCACTCTAAGCAGTACATCAGTACTTACAAGTGTGGATGTTTTGGGTCAGTAT